ATCCTTATAAATTGTAATTAAGATTTAAAACAGTACCTATGATACTAAAATTTAAATAAAAGACAAAACTAAAAAAATTAATTATTATATATACTTTTTTTATTTTAGCTTTTTTCTAAAAAAATATTGTAATTTGAATTTTTTTAAAAAACAGGCTTTTAACAGGCTTCAGGCCAGGCCAGGCCAGGCCTTTATACAGGCCAGGCTCAGGCTGAAAAATAAGCCTGTAACAGGCCACAGGCCAGGCTCAGGCCTATAGGCTACAAAACAGGCCTGGCCTGTTAAGAGTAAAACCTGGCCTGGCCTAGCCTGTTTCCACCCTTAATATCAGGGCGTCTCGGTCTTGTCCCGACTAGAGTCTAATCGGGACAATACTGGGATGTCTCGGTTCTAATCTGTCTTGTAAACAGCCCTAGACAGAGGATAAGACTAGGGGAAAGGAGAATTTATGGTGGAGAAAAAAAAACGTGAGAATGTGGAAATTTGCGCTTATAATTAGGGGTGGAAACAGGCCAGGCAGCCTGGCCTGTATTTGGCCTGGCCTAGCCTGGCCTGTTTTCCAAAAGAGACAAGCTCAGGCCTGTTTGAAGGCCTGTTTAAGTTAATAGGCCAGGCTTAGGCTCTCTAAAAGGCCTGTTAAGCCTGTTAGGCCGGCCTGAGCCTGTTAGAAACTTATGATTATAATATATAAAAAAATTAGTTAATGATATTGTTAATGTGTACTTTTAATTTATTTTTTAATTTTAATATATAGTTAATAGCTTAGTTTTTCCTTAGATTTTGAAGTTTAGTTGACAAGTAAAAATAAAAATATAATTTAAAATAAAAATATCAATAAATAATATGATCTTTAAATCTTAAAAATATAAATAAAATAGGAAAGAAAATTTTTGTTCCAAGAATGATAGATTAATTAACTTATGTATTATATTAATTAAATTATGATACTCTCTTTATTCATTGGAAAAAAAAGAAGTAATTTTTTCGTTCCGCTTCTGAAGCGCTACCTAATCATTAGGTAGCACTGATATATGTAGCGCTTGATAAATGCTACCTATTAGAAATTTTAAGCGCTAGCGCTCAACTTTTATGCAGCAGTAAATGGACTCAAAATAAACTTTATAATTTTAAGAGGTTAAAATAAAACTTGATGCAAATTTAGAGATTCAAAAGTATAATAGTATAATACTTTTTTCAAAAAGTCAAATAATCAATTCTTACACGTTCATGGGTACTTCAACAAAGTTACCATTTAAATTCATTGAGTTAGTATTTTCTATTAATGAGACTAATGGTGTTAACATTTAGTAACTCAAAATATACTTTATATATTTAAGAAACTAAGAGAACTAAACGTATAAGCTAACAATAAAATTATTAGTATTATAATAGTATGATAAAATTTAATAGAGTTTTTTTGTTTTGCTAAAACTGAAAGAATTAATTTATTTTCACTATCATTGGTACTTTTATGCAAAAACATATGGTATTTAGTGTACTTTGACTAAAAGCTTATGGCGATGTCATTTTTGCTATAATTTTATAAGTTTATGGGTATTTCTGTACCTCAAAAAAGTTATGGTGGTGGTTGCACTCTTGGTATAAATTTATGGGTATTTTTGCACCTTGACCCAAACTTTTATTTAGAGTTTTTAATGACTATTATATATAATATTTTGGGTTTTTGTGTAAGGGTGCCCAAAGAAAATTTAAAAAAAAAAAGATGTTTTTACAAGGGCTAAGCCCAAAAAACTACAATTAGAAAAAAAATCAGATTTTATTGCAATAGGTCTAATAACTCAAAAGACATTAAAACAAAATCACATCGAGATGTCTCAGTCCCGTCCCAACCAAAATCAGGACAACACCAGGATGGAATGAGACATAGGATAGTTTTTCTATTCCGTTACTGTTCATCAGGAAAAAATCAGGATGAACCAGTCTCGATTTATCCCATAAATAGCCCTAGACAAAGGACAAGACTAGGGGAAAGGAGAATTTATGGAGGAGGAAAAAAACGTGAGAATGTGGAAATTTGAAAATCATAAAAGTTTTCCACTCACGTCTTCCATTTCAGAAGTTCAAACACTGTCCCCACCAATATTGAATTTTCATTGCAGGTGGGTGGATTTCTTCATATTCCATTTTATTTTCTACTTCATTGATTTTCAATCAATGTTGGCATCGCCTGCCATTTTGTCCCAATCAGAACAATGAGGAACATATTCCAGCCATGATGAGCTTACTTGGAAGCCACGTGAGTATATTTTTCATAGTGTCAACAACCCTTTGTGCCATGTAGGATGAGTCATGTGTAAGAACGGTTACTTTATTAAGCGAGATAGAAATTAAAGAGAGTTTTAACCCAGTTAAAAATTCAAGAATCAAGTTATACCGAGTCATAATTAAAAGACTGAGTTACTAAGTTAAAAGTTGAATGACTAAAAGATTAATTTTTTTTCAGATTTTTTTAACTTTTAAAGTGACTTTTGACCCAAAAAAATCAGCAGCCTTCAAATCCATATCAAAAGTATTTTTTCATTCGACTACCTTTTTTTTTTTTTAATCCCAAGTGGCTTTTGAGGCTGTCCGGAACAATCCCAATAATTCCCAAACAAGCTCTTAGATTAACTTAAAATAAATGTTTTTTAACATTAGTTTTTTCAGTACAAACTGCTCTGATCCGCTCAGACAGGGTGAGAATTACGATTAAATTAAGATGAATTGGTGATAATATAATTAAGAATTTCTTAACTTTCACGGCGGCCAAAAATAAAATATCGAACAGGACTACCGAGTGATTGACTAATGATTATGATAAGCAACAGACTAGCTACGTACAGTCATAGACGAGCGAATTCGGCTTTTTTACTAATATACTGCAATAAAACATATTACCAAAATCCTGAAAATTATTTGGGAAAACCATATTGGAGGTACCTGTACTTTTTTTCAATTTTCAATTTGGTACCTATGTGTTTTTTGTTCTTAACTAAATATTTATTTTTTCTTTATTAACATCATTAATCCTTATGTAGAGACTAAAAATATCAATAGAACAAAGTTATAAGAGCTAATCTTGCTAAAAAGATAAAATTAAATGTTTAATTAAAGGGAAAAAACACATAGGTACCAAATTAAAAATAAAAAGAAAGTATAGGTACCTTCAATATGGTTTTCCCAAATTATTTACCAGAATACTATACTTAAAATCGTTCATGTAATGCGAAGATAAATTTTACCTTTGCTATTTGTCCTATTGTCCTAACAAGTCTAACACATAAATTATTTTGAATAAAAAAGTAAACTTCATCACGCATAGATCGACTTTGCCTTCCTCTCTCCTCTCTCTTCTCTCCTGCCACCGCATCAAACGGAATATTTGAAAAATTGATGAGTAAGAAATAGTTTGAAAAAACACACGGTGATGGCTATTTGGGGGAGGAAAAAAATGATTGATAGAGTTAATGTACAAATTATGGGATGGAGTAAAATAGGAAAATCAAGTATACATTCAGTTAATTCTTAATGTAAGATCTATTTATCTAATTTAAATAAATTAAAGAAACTAAATTAATTACTTGATTATGAATATGAAAAATAAGATAGATAAATGACTTACACTTAGGATCAAAATTTACCCTCAGACTAAGTCCTACATTCAGGACAGGAGGAGTATATATACTCCTGAGGGTAAGTCATTTATTATCTTATTTCTCATATTCATAATCAAGTAATTAATTTAGTTTCTTTAATTTATTTAAATTAGATAAATAGATTTTACATTAAGAATTAACTGAGTGTATGCTTGATTTTCCTATTTTACTCCATCCCATAATTTGTATATTAACTCTATCAATCATTTTTTTCCTCCCCCAAATAGCCATCACCGTGTGTTTTTTCAAACTATTCCTTACTCATCAATTTTTCAAATATTCCGTTTGATGCGGTGGCAGGAGAGAAGAGAGAGGAGAGGGGAAGGCAAAGTGGCAGGAGAGAAGAGAGAGGAGAGGGGAAGGCAAAGTCGATCTATACGTGATGAAGTTTACTTTTTTTATTCAAAATAATGTATGTGTTAGACTTGTTAGGACAATGGGACAAATAGCAAAGGTAAAATTCATTTTCGCATGAACGACTTCCTTACAATCTTAAACTCGTTCTTTACATGAACGATTTTAAGTATAGTATTCTGGTAAATAAGCAGTATATTAGTAAAAAAGCCAGCGAATTCTGAGTATTTGTGGTTTAGATATCTCGACCAAGCATAAAATTATAGATGATTACACTACTGTTTAATTTTGGGTAGTTGATTTGCAAAGAAAGGCTAAACAAAGACTGATTTATACGCCCTTTTTTTTCTATAAGATCCAAATAATTAAATTATGTAAATTAAAAAGCTAGTTAAAAGTGATTAAATGTAATAATATGTAAGAAAAAAATGTAACTTATTTTTCAAAAGCCCACTTATCTGTGAAAAAGGTAGATGTGATAGTACAGGTTGAAACCCCTGCACTGTCAAAATCACAACCTCGCGGGTAATTGGTATTCAATTTTTTTTTCAATTTTATCAATTATTATAATTATATTACTATATTTTATATCCTATATAAAATTTTGAAAAAAAAAACTTATATCATGTTTTCAATCATTATGATAATTCACCTGTACTGTCAAACTCATTATTATCACAGCTTTTTTTTTAAAAAAAAAACCAGTATTGCCTAATCTTAAGCCACCATCATTGTCAATGGTCCCGTATTCCCTGCCCTTTAAAAATATCAATGGGAGAGATAAGCGAAATAGGAAAGATACGATACGGTAAACCTGACTCCTGGGGACCAAAAACAGTAATAATTGACTGACTTGTTTGTGCGAAAAATATTCAGACGTGGGTGATTAATAAAGGAATCAATTATGAAGTCACACTCCTGTGATGAATTGTGATCGATCCGTTGAAGCGTTTTATTGATTGGCCTCCTGCCTGATTCCCTCAATAAGCCATGGCTTCTTCTTCTTCTGGTTCTTCCTGGACTTACGACTTGTTCTTGAGTTTTAGAGGCGAAGACACCCGTGACGGTTTTACTTCTGAGCTTTATAGCGCTCTAGGGCGGTCAGGGATCCATGCTTTCATGGACGATGAAGGAGTTGAGAGGGGAGAAGAGATCTCTGCCTCACTATTGCAAGCAATTGAACGATCACGAATTGCGTTGGTAATTTTGTCTCCAGATTATGCATCTTCCAGATGGTGTCTGGATGAACTGGTGAACATAATGGAGTGTCGAAGATCTGCAGCTCAGGTGGTTATTCCCATATTCTATAACACAGATCCGTCTCATGTTCGTAAACAGACAGGTACATATGGTGGAGCGATGAAACGACACGAGCAAAGGTTGGGAGGGGGCGGTGATCGCCGGGTGCTGCGGTGGAGGCAGGCACTCACGGAAATCAGCAACCTTTCCGGGTTTGATTCCGGAACATTTCGGTAACGAATTCCAAACCAGCTCTCATTAAAGACAAAAAAAAAAAAAAGGAAAGAAAAGGAAATTACGATGTGTCAAACTCAGAATGCTTCCATAATTTTATTTTAAGGTTAATATAATTTTTTTGTCTCTCGACTTCTTCAAATTTCAAATAACAGGTTTTAATTTCTCAAAAGGTAAAATAGTCTATTTTTTTTTAAAAAAATTTAAACCCATTTTGTATAATTTATTTTTATTTTAGAGTAACTTTGTGTGAGCTTTAAAAGTTATATCTATAAATTCATCGCATGGTTGAAAATGTTTTGAGTAATTATTATACTTGCGTTTTCTGTTCTGCTCTTGGCCTTCTTTTGAAGCCTCCTCCTGTCCGGCTCCAATAGCTTCCTTGTGCCCTTGGCCTTCTTTTGAAGCCTTCTCCTGTTCGGGTCCAGAAATTAATGCCCCCGATTTATCCTACACTTGAAAGTTTTCCTGTGATGCATATACATATTTAATGGCTAAATTGGTCCATCTCTTATCCTTAATGGCCCGCTAAAATTCTTCCTGTTTAAAAGCAAGTCTTGTCGGTTCTATTTCTGATAATGATGCTATTTATGTGGCTGATTGTATTGTTTCACGGACATTTATTAATGACAGGTCTGAAGTTGAGCTGATTGATACCATTGTGAAGGATGTTTTAGAGAAAGTAGATGCTGGACAATTGTTTGTTGCTGAGCATCCAGTGGGAATAGAGTCTCGAGTTCAGCAACTGGCAAGTAAATTGTCAAAAAAGAGATTTAGAAAAGTTCATATTATCGGCCTCTGGGGGATGGGAGGCGTTGGTAAAACTACTGTTGCCAAAGCCTTTTACAATACAATTGGTCATACGTTTAGAAGAGCAAGAAGTTTTCTTGCGAAGATAAGAGAAAATTCAAAGCATTCTAATGACGTAGTTAATTTGCAAAAGCAACTCATTTCTGATATCATTAATACAGAAGTTTTCAAGGTACCTAATATTGATAGAGGGAAAAGAATAATTCAAGAAAGATTTCCCAACATAAAAGCATTTGTTGTATTGGATGATGTGGATAGTGTCAATCAGCTGAATACATTATGTGGAAGTCTTGAATGGTTTTGTCCTGAGAGTATAATAGTCATAACAACTAGAGATCTCCATCTGCTTAGTGTCATTAGAGCTGACTACAAGTATAGAATGAGAACGATGGATGAAATTGAGTCACTCGAGCTTTTTAGTTGGCATGCTTTTAAGCAAGAAGCTCCCCTTGAAAACTTCATAGAACTTTCTAAAAATGTAGTTGCTTACTGTGGTGGACTTCCTCTAGCTCTTGAAGTGCTTGGTTCTTATTTGTTTGACAGAAAAATTGAAGAATGGGAGGATGTCTTGTCCAAATTAGAAAGGATTCCGAATGATGAGATACAAGCAAAGTTAAAAATAAGTTTTGATGGTTTAAAGGATGATATGGAGAAGAATATATTTCTTGATATTTGTTGCTTCTTTTTCAATAAGGATAGAAACTATGCCACGCACATATTAAATGGATGTGGATTTAATGCAAAAATAGGTATAACAACTCTCATTGAGCGAAGCCTGATAAATGTTAATAGGAACAACAACAAGCTTGAAATGCATGACTTATTACGTGATATGGGAAGAGAAATCATTTGTGGAAACCCACGAAAGGACCCTGAGGATCGCAGTAGATTGTGGTTTCAAGAGGATGTAACTGAAGTGTTAATGCAAAATACAGTAAGAATTTCTTTCATGTCTTATTTTCTTTTGCAGGCTTTGATGTCAAAGAATATACATTCGTTTTTCCACCAAAGTTATGTAGTTTCTTCTTTTTTGTTGCTCCAACTTACGAGTTTCATACCCTTTTCTTAAAATTTTTATGGTAATGGGACTTCAATTCTTTCCGTAACATTTTTACATATGTTTTAACAGGGAACAAAAGTTATTGAGGGCATATCCCTGAAAAAGCCCCATGAAGTGTGTGAGATTGATTCTGAGGCATTCAAGGCAATGAGAAAACTCAGATTGCTCCAACTAGAGTATGTAAATCTTGAAGGAGATTATAGGCATCTTTCAAATAAGCTAAGGTGGCTTTGTTGGCGTGGATTTCCTTTAAAATCCATACCTGACAGCTTGTACCAGAAAAACTTAGTTGCTATTGACTTTAGATACAGCAAGCTCAGGCTAGTTTGGAAGAAACCCCAAGTATCAATTTGTCCTTCCCCCCTTTTTAAATGCTTTAAGCTGTCAATATTATAATTTGGCTAATTTTTCACATGGAACTTCATTTTTGCAGTTGTTGCAGTGTTTGACAATTCTCATTCTAAGCCATTCACCTCACTTGAGACAAACTCCTGATTTTACAAACCTACCAAACCTTGAAAAGTTAGTACTGAAAGATTGTCCGAGCCTAGTGTTAATTCACCAGAGCATTGGAGATCTGAAAAAAATTATTTTGGTAAATCTAAAAGACTGCAAATGCCTGAGGATTCTTCCTAGAAGCATCTACAAGTTGAAATCATTAAAAACTCTCATTCTTTCTGGTTGTTCATTGATTGACCATTTAGAAGAAGATATTGAGCAGATGGAATCCATGACAGTACTAAAGGCAGATCATACTGCCATAACAGTAATACCCAAGTCATTAGCAAGATTGGAAGCACTTAAGCATGGATATGTATCTTTCCTAGGCCTTGAAGGAAGAGCACGAGATGTATTTCCTTCTCTCATATGGTCTTGGATGTCACCCGCCGATATTCCCCAGTCCAGCAGTGAAGAATTTTTGCTGAGCATGTCATCTCTAGTTTTTTCTGTCATACAGAATGGCAGATTTCATGGCCTATCTCCATTTTTGGGCGATCTTGCCAAGCTTCGAGGTGTGTGGGAAGAATGCCGATCACAGTCTCGATTCGATGGAGAAATGGCGAGACTTTTGGATGCCTTGTATGGGACAAACTTCATGGAATTGGAATCCACACCAAGCAGATCCGTGGAAGCTTCTACATCATTTGACGGTCATGATCAAGTTCAGAATGCAACATCGGTAGATTCCCTCAATTCTCTTTTAATTCAAATGGCAGGGAGCTGCAAAGTAGACTTATTGAAAGACAAAATACTACAGGTTTGTCTCTGTTTTCTTTTCTACCACCATCATGTTTGGAAACATTGGTTTTCTGGAGTACCAGACTCATATCAATATTGCATGCATGAGAAATCCATAGTTTCATTAACAAACAGTGATTACCTTACGGATGCAATATTGCTTCCCACAAGTCTAATGAGCATGTTATAATGAAGGGAGTCGTATTTTATTTTCCCTTTTCCGGGCCACATTGTTGTTTTTATAAGTACTTAAATATGAGCTTTTGATTCCTGTGTTGATGCCATCAATAGGGATGGAATGCTGGCGGGTGGAATGATTCTAACCTACCTGGTGATCAGTATCCCGACTGGTTTATCTACAAGGGCGAAGGACGCTCAGTAAATTTTAAGGCACCTCAAGTCATAGGTTGTCACTTGAAAGCGATGCTTCTGAATGTTGTGTATTCTTCTTCCATGGATAACACAAGGCCTGAATTTCTCATAAATGTTCTGATAATTAACTACACGAAGGCTTATGTTAAACAATGTAAGGGAGACTCGGCAACTTTCCATGAAGATGCAAAATGGCAAAGTATCATTTCAAGAGTTCAACCTGGTGATCAAGTGGAGCTTATTTTAAGTATTGGGCCTCAATTCCCTGTGAAGAAGATTGCAGCATACCTGATCTATGATGGTTCTAAGCGTCGCAGGTTATTGAAATAATTGTCGCAAAAACTGATTTCGGTTTGTAATATAGCCTCAGTATTTCTGATGCAGCGGCAACTTTTAGATATGGAAAATGACAATTACGACCTTCTTAGGCAAGATAATGATACTTGAGGACCCAAATTTAAAGCTGCCAATTGCTACAGACTTGAAACAAGATTTTTACAAGTCAACTAGAGCTTTCTGGTTCATAGAATTTTCCCAATTAATATATGACCTTGGCATTTAATTGGCATTTTCAAGTTCTAGGGTTATTATCTGTCATTATTCTGCAAAACTTGACACTAACTCTCCTTTTGCTCTTTAAAATCTATCGTTACATGTTGGACGATAGAGAGTGTCCGACTGTTTGGTACGAAGAGTCTTGGATGGTGAGCTAGACTGTCAAAAGATTATTGTTGTTTTTAAGTTTTTTTTCCCCAGTAAAAAGCGTTCCATTCCGACAATGTTATGTGAGGACCATTTTTCTTAATTAATTACAATGTAAATGTTGGGAGTCCAGATTCTTTAATTTTCAGTGAAACCAATTTGAAGTCTTTGTTTTCACCATGAACATGGAAAATAAAAACAGAGTAATTCTTTAAGAAAAGTCAGCTTCCTAAAACTGCAAGTGATAAGCCATAAAACTCAAGAAACATGTTTCTGAACAAGACTTATCATCTTCAAAGCAGGTTTTTCAGAAAACAGAGTAGAATAAGAAACCTTGACCTTGCATCACAAATTCCAAATAATTTTCAGTTTAAATGCAAATATAGTTTTTATATGCTGACTTGTGAAACAGCCTCCCAGAATAACAATCTCAAATAACAGTCAGATTGATTCTGTAATCTGCACGTACTGTGTGAGGACTAAGGATCTCGTGCAATGCATCCATTAAGATACAAGGACTTTTGATTGCTATCAGGAAAATTGACAAACAATTCCCTAAATCATAACTGGGAACATGGTTATCTCTGAAATTCAACTAGCATATAAAGAAAATAAAATTGTGGAGATAACAAATTCAACTATTGAATTTCTGCTTACAAAAATTATTTCCACCTAGTGATGCCAGTTGATAAGGTCGTACAAAAATCACTGTTGAAGCTTTGATGGATGAAGGAAAGTGGTAGCTTCATATATTGGGGGCCCTGTCAAGACGATAAGACAATGATGCAGGTGTCCTTATTTAGTCGTAAAAAAAGGAACCTAAGTTTATATTTGAAGATTATAATCAAACAATAAATAAAATTCCACTTTGGTCCTCCTGGATAACTCCTATATCAGATAACTTCCTTAGTGACTTCATGTTTCACTGTACTACTCCGACAGGTTGACTTTATTTCAACATTTGTTCTGCAAAAATTTACACAGAACACTGAAAGGATAATAATAAAACAAATACTGCACCTAGGAATGGCCCGTACATAACAAGATCACAAAGATAGATAGATAGATAGATACGTATGGCGTTTACTCTCTGCTTCAGTTTCTGATGGATCACAAAGGCAGCCGTAGCTATAATTAAAGTACTGCTGTTCTATTTGTTCCTTCCGCTCAAATGTAAATGTAGATCATAGCATGAGTTTATGTAAATTACTTAAAGTGTATCTTAATATCCTTTAGCAATGTAAATTAAAAATTTACTAACAAATTGTTGGTTGAGATAATAAGTGGTCTCACCCTTATAAGGAGAAGAACACAAGTTCGAATTTTGAAAAATGCATTTGTTAGGAGATCTTTAACTTTAATGCTTCTGACTTGACAGAGATTAGTCTCAAATCCAAGTGACTTAAGTATACTCTTGAGTTACACAAAACAGAATAAAATAAAAATTTGAAGTGAATGCCTGACTACCTATCATATCATCCTCCTAGCTGGTAAATTTTTCTTTGTTGTATGATGTCTCTACTCATGCAATGTGATGGGGGCACGATTTAGTTGCCGTAGAAAGGAATTCGATAATTCATCAGCTTTGGTTGATTGGTAAATTGACGAGGAAGACTTCATCAATGGTGCTTGGAATGATAACATCGCAAGGGAAGTGGCAGATCTGAAAAATAAAATCAATTAGCTTTGGGGTAAGACTGTGAAGTTGAGGACTGATGATGGTTGGAGGCACTAGAAGAGGAAAGTGCAAAGGCTTTTGAAGATTTTTATGGAAGACTTCTCAGCTCATCAAGTAACACAGATTTTTCTGAAGTTTTGGAGGGTGTGGATAAGCTATAACTCCAGAAATCATCAATGAATGGTTTATGAGAGAGGTGTCTATTGGTGAAGTTAAGGCTGCTGTTCATGAAGTGGGAGGAAACTAAAGCGCCTGGATCAGATGGCTTCACGGGCAGCTTCTACGAAAATAGCTGGGTGATAATAGGGGATCAGGTATACTGGCAAGTTAAAAGTTTCTTTTCAAATGGTTTTAAGCTCAATTCAATTAATGAACTGATCGATGTGGTGCCAATCCGAAAAGTAAAAAGTCCAGTCATAGTCAACGAGTTTTGACCTATAAGCATTTTTCTTATAAAATCATTTCAAAAGTTATGGTGAATAAGTCTAAACCGTGGCTAGATAGCTGCATTTCTGAATAAGAGGGAACCTTTGTGATGAGTCATAATCAAGATAATATTATCATCGTGCATGAGACTTTCCATTATTTGTGTCATAAAAAGAGTGGTCTTCTAGAATTGGCTTTCATGAACAAAGCCTAGGACAGACTTTTGGACTTCTTGTACCATGTTCTGCTTAAAATGGGATAAGAAGCGGGCAAATAGAATAATGCTTGTGGGGGCTTGATCCGGAACACTGAAAGGGAGTTCATAAAAGGCTTCATCCACCATATCAACGACGGTGACACTCTCTCAGCTGAAATTTGGCCTTGCCTACGCAGTTAAGGTTGCCTGTCATGAAAGTTCTAGGCGAGTTATCCTATAGAGTCGGACTCGACGCATGTAATTGAGCTTATTATTATTTGCAGCCAGGAGGATAACCATGCAGATTGTGATGTGATTAGAGAAGTGAAGTCTCTGTTAAAGCGGGAATGGGATGTTCACATTAACTATATTGATAGTAGCTGCAATAATGAGACCGCTGACTGCCTTGGTAAGAAGGGTCTTAAAGCACCGCCTGGTTTTCACGTGGTCTTTGATCCGCTGGTGGAGCTTATTAACATTCTGAGGAAAGACTGTTTAGTTGGCCCCCCTAGGCGTATGATTATCAGTTAAAGTGTGTTTTTCTTAATTAAAAAAAAAGAAGAAGTGGGCAGAATGATGAGTTCCTTGGTTTGTAAAGTCTATGAACTTCAAGCTGTATGGTAAAAGAGTATCTTCTGTTAATCAAGTTTTTCAAGTCTCTTCATCAACGATACTTATAGGATAATTATATATTCAATCATTTAAATTTATATCAGGTTTCAGTTTAATTCTTTAAATTTAAAAATTACAATGTCAGTTTCTTAAACTTGAAAAAGTTAACTTCAGTAATAAAAATATAATAAAAGTAAACTTATCAGAAGTCTACAGTGTAACCTACTTGAGTCTAACCTAACTTATTTGGTAAATAGGACAGTTCGGGTTCATGTCTATGGCAAGTCCTCCCTAAATAAATAAGACAGACCTATTTTCACAAGGGCTGGCCTATAAGCCTACAAGTCTAGCTTATTTAGTTGATTAATTTATGCGGGTTTCCAAAAGCTAAGAATCTAGGGAGGTATTTGGGTACCCAAGGTAGTGGAAGGGAGGAACTCAAAACAGACATTTAGTTTTCTGATTGACAAAGTGCAGAAGAAGTTGAGTGGTTGGAAAAGGAATTGATTATCTTTGGCTGGTAGGTTAACCTTGGTACAATCGGTCACACGCCAAATTCCGGTGGATCACACGTTGCATGAAAATACACCTAGAGGGGTGTGTCAGCAAATAGAGAAATTGCAGAGGGAATTTATTTAGTGGCAGGAGAATGGTAGACGGAAGATCCGTCTGATGGGTTAGAAGAGATTGTGTTTGCTGAGGGAAGTTGGTGGATGTGGTCTGAGGGATTTGACAGTGATGAATGATGCAATTGTGCAAAGTGGGATGCGAAATGATAGAGAAACCAGAGAAGCTTGTGTCAAAAGTGCTGAATGCCAAGTAGGGGAGGAAAGCGAAATTAACAAGGTCTTGTAGTGTCAAGCAGAGTGATTCAGTTGTGTGGAAGAGGCTGGGAAAACTATAAGACAGAATGGCGGCAAATGGTGGTTGGGAAGTTGGAAATGGAAGGAGGGTCAGGTTTTGAGAAGATAGATGGGCTGGGACTAAGAAGGTTTCGAAGGAGAAATGTAGGACCACACGGAGGGATAAGATGGGAGGAATGTCAGTAAGGGATTCTATGAATGAATGGGGAGAGTGGAACTTGGATATGTTAAAGGACCTACCGCCAGACGAGAGTGTGGAGAGAGTTCAAGCTATAGTGCCACCAACCACAGATGATAGCTGTGATAAGATAAAGGGGATAAATAGTTCGACTGGTAAGTTCTCTGTTGCCAAAATGGATAAACTTTTGAAAGGTTTTGTTGGGTTGAGGGG